TTCCCACCCTACTCCCACTACTTCCTTGCCTCTAGACTAATTAATTAATTGAAATTAATTAATTAAACAAACATTAAAGTTTACACCTTAGCGCCATACCGCCATAGCGCCTTAGTTCCTTAGCGGCAGGCAACCCCCATAACCATCCCAATAGTGCACTCTGCACTAAAAAGAGTATAAACTTACGACTTGTATAAAATGCGAACAGTTCTCTTAACTTGAGTATTTTTGGGCAAAAATTACTCTTGGGGGTTGGAAGGATTATGTGATCGGTGGGTGAGTTATGCATGTCCGCGTGTCACACAAATGACTGTGTGGGTCTTATCAAAGAACGAATCAAATTGCCTGTTAGAAAATAAGATGGTATCGACATTAATCTGGAGACGTGTCAGATTGCTGTAGTTTGTTCAGTCAGACATTTTATGGGTTACTATTTAGTTATCTTACCATTACCCATGTAACATCGTATGTACAGCATAAATTCCCAGTTTCTTTCTTGCTGTACATCGCAACCGAAAAAAACTTGTCAAATTAACCCAATCATTACTGTAAACACAAAAAATAACTCTTGCACGCCTTGCGTGCCTATGTTTAATCTTGATTGAGTTCTGACATTTCTTAGACCCAATTGATTAGCAAGATGATAGTGTTACTGAGTAATAATTGCTACAACAGTATGTTAATTTGGCTTATTTTCAGGCGGAGAATCTGACTGTCGCCGCGTATTGAAACCTGATGGCCAAGAAATTTTGATGAAAGCTATTTCATCCCTCGAAGCTGCGCTGGGATCCCTGAGGGACGGAACTACAGAATTTCAAATGCTGAGTTTACTTAATGGTCATTCAGAAAGATTTCTAGCACTTTGCGGGCAGATTGACAAGGAGGAAGGTAAATTGTCATCCTTAAGACAGCTGTTGCACCAACGTTGCGTAGAGCTGTCTGCATTCCAGGAGGAACGAGAGAAAGTGACTATCTTCATAAGGATGTGCTCACATATCAAACAAGGTATCTAAGAGGTTTTTTAGTTTTGTGATAAGCCAGTTTAATATAATATTAATAAAAATCTTTTCATTCTTTTTCTTTCAGTGAATGTTGATAAATTGTCAAGGAAGTCAATGATGGATGCCTCTCACGTGTCTATTAGAGATCTTGTACGGTCAACCAACGCTGATGGGAAAGTGTTTCCAGTGGTGACCTTTTTTGGTCTTTCTCCAAAGGCCAAGTATATGATTTCATCTCTCAGTCGACTACGTGAGAGCGTATTACTAAGGCAACTTTGGATCGAGAATGGCGACAAAGCACTCAGGATGATTGCAGAAGGAGAAACACAGAACATGTCTCTAGGTGTTGAAGATGTTGTAGAGCTGATTTGGACACCAACAAATGCAGAGCTGCAGTCTTTGCAAGCCCGTTTCTTTGCTGGTGACATTTCCTTTGGAGAGGTAGACAAGTTGTTCAGAGTTTTTCAAGACAACCAGAATTATGATGATCTTGCGAACGAAATCAAGCTGTTCACCTTAAGAGGTGGCAGTCCAGCCCAAACTACAGAAGAGTTAATCAACAGACGCATTGAGCAGATACAACAGTACTACAAGTTACAGCGTTGCATAGAGGCTGCTAAGATCATCCTGGATTTCAGAACTTGTCTTGGTCTTCAAGGAGATTTTAAACTGGTAGAGCACTTGCGTAACCAGGTTCGTTTGAACTTCACGTACCATACAGGGTCATACTACATGTATCCAATCTTTTAAAACAACACGGAGGAGGTTCAGTCCTCATTAGGAAAATTCCTAATTCCACTAACCCAACCTGAGGTTATAGACTCGTTTTCCTCACGCTACAAATGAAGGAGCAATCAAGCCCGTACGTGCTGTATATGCAATTGTAATTTTTCATTTGTCTCTACCATACTAGTGTGTACCTATCCATTTTAAATATTTCTTTTAATTTATTTGCTTGCGTTCTTTTCACAATTTTGTTTTGTTTAGCCGCTTCACAATTGTTGCTATTTATAAGTGTATTCACTAGCACATTCAAATTTTATTCATTATAAACAGTTGACGACTTGATTGACCTGTGATTTTTAAGAACCTTATCAATGCAACACTGCACTGCACTGCACTACACTACACTATCCAATGGAGTGCAATTCAATGCAATTCAAACTTTATTTCATGAGGGTTGCACTAAATAGTGCGTAGCACTAATAGACCTGCGGCCCTAAATAGAATTATAAATAATATAATGACATTAGAAATATACAAAAACACAGTTACAGAATTAAGCTAGGAAGAAAACAAACAAATAAAAATTAGTTATACTAAAATCACTTTGTAAAAATATGCTAATTTAAATTATAGTTAATAGAGGGGAATGGTTATGAAGCCCGGCAAACATCAAAGATTTCAAGATTTATGTTTTAAGGTCCATGACCGTGGCGCAATCTTTTCCTTTGCGCTCATACACTATGCACGTAACGAAAACGGTTCTAATGGTTAGTTCCTCAGCACGGAATAAAGAACTATTGTGTTTTGTGCACGGTCAAGGCCTAAAAAGCAAACAAAAACATACACCAAAGAACTTTGTCAGGTTTCATAACCATTCCCCTCTTTTAACTATGTCTATATAGATGAAAAATGAAAAGTGTCGTATTCTATTTGATATTTCAAAACTCTATTTCTTAATGTATTGATAAAAAATCTTAACTGGCGTTACTTTACACATGTTTCTTGATAGCATATCTTGTCTTACATTGCTATGAAACTTAGTTACCTCTACCGTGCTTGGTGATATGTAAATAGTAGAAATAAGATTTGGATAGTGCTGCTAGTTAACTCTAAATGTGTCATTGTCCCTGCCATGGAATTAAAATGAAGCATTTAAGAAAGGAAAGAAGTGGTATTTCTCTCACCGATTGGAGAGGATGGTTAAAATGCACGATATCTCTGGGTTCTGAATAACTACATAAAACCGTTCCAAAGTTTTATGACTATTATATTTTTAATTTGTGGCTTCTTGATGTAGATGAGCAGTGAATTCAAACAACGGCCACTGAGAACCATGAATGCAGCATTGCAGAAGGCTGGTAGATTGTTATCCGAAATAAGCCCTGAGCGTGGACGCTGCCTTGATGCTGTTACCAGATGTCAACCTCTTATTAAATGGCTGAGGGAAACCATCGCAGGTACGTGCATATCAACAAATGCATCGATCTAGAATTTTCCTTGGTTTGAAGAGTAACCAAATAATTTGGTAAACTGCATTCATGTAGAGTGCTTTTTTTTAATTACTGCTATTTAATTAAATAAACAGATATCAGCTGGTTCTGGTATACGTTTCCCATTCAGGACAAAATGATGATGCAATGGTTTTTGCCTACCCAAACGCGTTACAAGTTCACTTTACCTCAGTATTTGAGCAAATTTTACTCTTTCTTGCTCGATTGTTAACTCTGTGATAGTTCACATATTACTTGCCCTCAGCACTCAAGGGAACGGGCAACATTTCTCACTTTCTTACACTCCAAGTGTAGTTCAATTCTTGTATTGATGCAACAGCTTAAAACTTAATATCTTTCTTTATTTATCACTACACATGATGCTTTTGTCGTAGCTGATCATGGAAGTGCGCTGGATGCGTGTGACATATAGTATCTGGGAGGTCACTGGTTTTAATGCTCAGTGGGAACTCTGTGTTCCACACTCGTCACGCGATGAACGTTTTATTTTTCTCGCTGATTATTAATGAAATGTTCATGGGTTGTAGAGAAATCTGATCAGAAGTGAGATATGCAGACCACAGTCTGGTATAACAATAATTTTCTTAGTGTCATCCACCAGCTGATTGGTCAATTTTCAGATTAAAATGTCCTCTGTTAGAACTTTGCATTTTTGTCTTGTAAGGTCCTCAAGAACTCAAGGTGCTTGTGGATTTGGCAATCATATCAGCTGGGGAGACAGACATGGAAACCACCAGAATAACCTGCTTACATACCAGCTGCTTAGGATTTGCACCTCTTATCTTCGATTTACAGCCTTCTTTTGGTTTTGATGAATTGATGAGAACTTGTGAACCAGTATGGAGTGCATTGGATGCTGATCCCACCCTCCCTAAAAAATTGGTAGGGCTAGGTATTGTGTTATTACCCTTAATATTAACACTGTGGAGGCCATCCTGTGTAAAGTTAGATCCTGCCAGGATCATGGCATGATATTGCATTCCAAAGGTTTCTTTTTCTTTTTGTTAAGCAGGATGCAGTGCTCTTACACGTCTTCTTTACGCAGATGTATTATTTTTGGTGGAAGACTATATAATTCTTTATTTATATGCAGATGGACACTAATCGTCACATGGAGTGGCTGCAGAGTGTCAAAACGTCGCATGGTTCCGTGGCCATGTCCTCCTTTATGGAAGCTCAGACTATTAATGAACATGGCATCTACCGTGTTGGATGTGAAGATGAGAGTTTATCAATAGTACCGGAGCAGTTAACACTCGACAATGTGATTCAGCTCACGTTACCCACAGGTGAAAATGGGAAAAGCAAAGAATACTCACTTGATAACCTAAGGGATTTGCAAAGTAAGCTGATGCTTATTGCTGCCAAGGCGTCACAAGGCAAAGAGGAAGTGGACAGATTTGTCGATGTAAGTCTGGCGTCAGTGGTTCTTGTTTCATGACTAATGTGGTAACGACAAAAACGAGTGTTGCAAAAACAAGAGTGACTCAAATGATGAACCTGATTACCTTTAACTAAATATAAAGCTTGTCAGAGGTACCTAATTCTAAGGCATTTCGATGGGCTTTTACTTTGAAAACCTCTTCATCAACTTGGTAATGATCATGAAAGTACATGTACCCTCCTAAGGTATTCGAGAATCTTGCTTGGCTTTGTTAGACTCCCTAGGAAAAACCCCTGTTTATACATGCAGGAAAACGGTGTTTACCTATCACAAAGACCTTGTCTAGGAGCCGTGGGCATTTATGGTTTATCAGTAAGATGGTATTAAACGTATAATCAATCATTTTGCGATATTTAAAACTTTCTTTTGTTTCTCCTTAATATCAGTTTAACTTTCTTTCCTTGTCATAATTTGATAGATTCTACAGTGTGTCTTGCGACTTGCTACAGTGTACATTTCACTTTGCAAAGCTGGGGAAGTAAGTCACCTCAAGTGGAAACATGAATTTCAGTGTACGCCAAGACTTACTGCCAACCGCTCTCTAGTAAGCGATTTGGTGGATGAAAGTGAACATCTGCAACAGTGTCTTCAGCAGTGGAAAGACGAACTACATGCCAAGCGTTTGCGGTACAGTGAATTAAATCACTTCACCACACGGCAGTTGCTTTTCCTTCGAAGCAAACTGGCCGTTGTCCAAGGCCGAGGCCCCAGAGCAGTGGATAGCATCCCTCTTGAGGTGTATAACCTTTTAGAGAGTGTGTTACCAGGCATTGACCCGGTCACTCTGAAGTCTGTACTTACATTTTGTGGTATATGTAGTCAGGAAGCTGGCCAAAACATCATCAGGTCATATGGTGCCAGCAGTCAACGGCAGCGACCAAGTGATAACTCCGACAGGTTTAAACTGTCAAAGGAGCTGCAGCCTTCAAACATAGAAATGTTCCAGTCACTTGTTGCCAAGTTGGAGTTGCTTGGTTACTCTGAGGAGGTTGCCATAGCAGCAATGATCTCATGCAAAGATGCCACTGAGGCAGATTTAATTGTGTGGTCTGTCCAAAATGGAAACAACGAAGATCTGATCAGTGCTAAGTACTCAGAGGCACAGAATGATCCCAGATATTTGCAACTAATGGATAAGGATAGCACCACATCTCGGGAACAAGAAAGGTGAGATGTACATGTGGTCATGTGAAATATATGATCATGACTCATTGCCATCTTGTCATATTTAAGTTCACTTTGGGAAGAACTTTGGTTATGTCCTTGATTTTGTTACAGTACAGCCATTAGTAATTAGTAGGCAGAAAGTAAGGAGGGCACTGCCTTCTTTCTAACTCATACCCACAATTCCTGTTCCTGCTACACATGGATGACAGCAGAATGAAGAGACAGATTAGGCAGTGAGGCATGGCATTCCTTTTCACTATACTGTAGCTTTGATTGTACTATGGATTGCCTGTGCACTATGCTACTAACACCGCTTTTCCCTCTAGTCCTGTAGAGGAAGATATGACAGATGAATCAGGAGATTTATCAGAACCAATGGAAACTGCTTTCACTCTTGACCAGACAGCGGATGGGGAATTTCTCAGTCTCGATGACTTAGGAAAGCTGTTGCTCCGCCTTGCTTCACAAGGTTTGTTGTATTTGCATACGCTTTGTGAGAATAGTCCAGTTTCGAGTTCGCCATGACCGCTGAATAAAAGCACTGAGAGCGCATTTGCACAGGGTTAGCCTCCACCTAGAAAAATATTCACAAATACCGGCGTGAAGGTGCCACAAATTTGAAAATTAAACAATACACAGAGCTGTAAACAGGTCATCTTCTCGCTGGAATTTGTGAATATTTTACTTTGGATCGAGGCTAACCCTGTGCAAATGCGTTCTCAGTGCTTTTAATCAGCGGTCATGGCGAACTCGAAACTGGACTATTATATGAAGGGAGAAGTGGAACCACTGTATTATCATTTGTGCTTATAAGCAAGAGTATACAAATACAAGCAACACTACAAAAAACCTGCCAACTAGGCTGGGACTTAAGTGGCCATTACGACTGATTTGTAGCTTGCACTGATCGTCATTAACAGAGCATCGCAATCCCTGAAGTCAACATACTACTTCAGAGCCACAGAAATGTTACAGGTTGATCACAAGACTTGCAGACGTATGATGTGATTTTAAAGTGCACCTAACCCCAAAAATTTTTTTTCGCTAAAACGAATCTACTTGTCATTTGAAATAGTTCTGCGAAAATATTTTTTGATTCCGTTAAATCCTCGATTTTCTGTGCCCCGACGAAATCTCGAAAATAGCTCCCAAACACCGCCATTTTGTTTCACGACCGAGTTTGAGGAGAGTGGGTCTAGCGGCTCTTGTGACGTCTACCCAGGAAGGTTGGATATCTCACGTCCTCTCATTTCCTTCAGGATGGTGCAATACACATTCGAAAAGTGTGCAGAAACGCCTTCCAGAGGTGCTATCGGCTGTCGCAGCAATATTCCAG